ACACACACACACATACACACATACACACACATATACACGCATATACACATACACACACATGTACACACACATATATACACACATATATTTTTTTGCAATTTGATAATTAAAAACAAATTAAGGGATGATATAATTAGAAAATAATGATTTCAACATTTAATGAAGATAAAAATTTTTACATAACAGTGTAACAATACCCGAAAAAGTTCACCTTCTACTCTTTTCTGCTCTCATCATTCTATCATCCTAATGTTTTTCTTCTACCCCTCCTATCACCGTTATCTCACATGATAAGGTGGAAAAGAAAAGTAATGATAAAAGGAAAGAAGTAGAAAGAGAGAAGGAAAGAGAGAGAGAGCGACGGAGAGAAAAAAGAAAAGACACCGTCAACTCAACATTTACTTTTGTCTGATTAAGACAGTTAATACAAGATGATGATAAATGAATATTTTTCATCTATCACTGCAACGTTCTTCCCCTTCCATCTAACCGTGATTACTCGTTTTATTGTGATTGACTAATTTTGAAGAGGAATTCTTCACTTCCTAAACTAAAAATGTTTCTATTTGAACAAATTTCAGCTTCAATAATGAATTTGCTCAATGTACAGCTAAAATTATAATTGATTTTTTTATTACAAGCAATTTCACTAATTTGTTTATTTATTCACTTATTTTGTCTGTTTTTTTACATTTATTTTATTAAATATGACAAGGTATGAAAGTAAACATTTCTAATATTGAATATATTAAAATTCTTTTGAACAAAAATTGACAATCCAAATTTTTTTAATGTTGAATTAAATGAACATAGCAAAATGATATGAATAGTTGTTAATAAATTTTAGTTATACTGATATCAAAGAATGATAAATAACGAACTTAAGCTAATTATATTATGCAAATTCAAATCAAGTACTTAAGGAATGAGTCAAAAATAGATTTACCTATTTTATCTAAATTTCAATCTCTAATCTTAATTTAATTGGGATAGTTGCAGCATTGGCAAATTATTCTACATGAAAAAAGAATATGTAAATATACTTGTTTATTCCAACCTATCGTTACCGAATTTAAACTTAATTGTATATTGCAGCGCCGATAATTTTATTAGTACAAGTTAGTATGATATGATACTGCTAAATTACCGTATGTGCAATCTTGAAGATGTCCCATAATGTTTGCTATGTATATTTTTAACTCTATGCAGTATTACGCTTAATTAATGATAGTAACAATTTATTAAATTACTGCAAACCAAAATGATATAAGCAGAAATTAAGTAACTCATTCTTTAAAAACATATGTTATCATCATTTAAATATTCCAAACATTAAAATAAAAATGACAATTTTGTTTTTACACAAACCCATTTGACTTATTGCTATGCTGCAAACTTACGAGTTAAATTTTAGCAAGACGGCAAAATTTGTGCGGCATTAAAACTTTTGAAGGTGTAATGAAAATTAGATTTATTCCAGTGTTAATGTTGTTCAATGAAAAGTCATCAAAATGAAAATTACATTAAACAACATTTTATGAAATAATCTGACCTTCTCTTTATCCTTCTCCTCTTTCTTCTTCACTAACTTTCATTTAATATTTCATTTCCTCATTCTTATTTCCCAATATTTTCAGCTTCTACTATACCTGATAGTAGCAATAGCAGTAGTGATGATGGTTGTTGTTGTTGATGATGTTGATGTTGTTGTTATTATTGCTGAGGCTGTTATTGGTAAAATACTGTCTGATAAGGTGGTATTACTTCAAGCAAAAACAGGTTTCATTTCACTAAGCCAATCAGTGTAGTCAGTCAGACAAGAAATCTATAAAAATTAAAGGAAGCATGAAAAGCGAAACGATTGGTTAAGGTAAAATGTGATAATTCATTTTGCATCGAAAATTTTTAAATAGCAAAGATTTTTTTCCGTTCTTTTTTTCAAAAAAAAAAAAAGAAAGAAAGAGAGAAAGAAGGAAAGAGAATAAGAGAAAAAAGGAAAGCAATTATTGTCATCTGTTCGATCGTCACACTCTTTTCAAATATCGTTTTCAAGTAGCACCAATGATACCATGCTTTCGTGCTCTTCTGTTACAGTATGCATTAGGCCGTTTACAATGAAAATTGATGATGTACTTGTTGGGTGGTTGATGACGGATACGGTACATATGATATATACAAATAAGTCAAGTTATCGCCTTCTAAAATCTTTTTATTAACTGATTAAATCCATTTTAATCAATAAGAACTAACGAATTAATTAAAGTGTTGATCTTAATATGTTATAATAATAATTATAATTTGGAAAAGTAAATCAGAAAATTTAGAATGTTGTATTCGTAAAAAGTGAATTTTTGAGGGTATAGACGGAATGATAAAAAGATGGAGAAAAATCAAATCAGTGACCGTATATAAATTCATAAATTTTGCAGCAAAAAAAAAACCAGTTCCATTGGATCAATAATAGTAGTACGGTTTTAATTTCATATGATACTAATTGTCCTTGAAAAATCAGAAAAGAATGGTAAGGACCGAAAAAAAAAAACTCGATGTGAAATGGATAAATTCTTGCAAACGAACGACAATTTTGTAGTTACCAAAGATTATCTAATATAAGTATCATTTACAAAAATCATTGCCGATATTCGGCAAGTAACAATAACCTTCACATTTCCTTTTTTATCAGCAACATGGAAGTTCATATTACACATATTGTTTGAAATCCTATAAATGATAAACACCATAGCGTTTAAAGTAACATATGTATATGATAAATAATGACACGGAATTAAAACTTTCGCAAACAAGCAATAATTGTAATGTAAAATTTATCAATAACGACGAAAAAACAACAAAAGTGGAGTATTGTCAACGAAAGTTAATTTGCTTGCAAAAAATTTTGATTAATTAATCTTCTGTTCAAATGGAGGTTGAGAACATACTAACTGATTAGTGATAAAAAATTTCATCAAAACGTGCGAATTATTTGGTTAAATGTTAAATAAAAGAAAATGCATATTTGCAACCATATTCCTACATTTTATCATCACTTTTCAACATATTATCATTAATAATCCTGAATGTTATAATTGCTTATTATTGCGATTTTACATTATCAAATTTTTCTAAAACATCGTGTTCTTACACATTATCATGCACGTTACCACATCATTACGTTTTAACTTCTCTGAATGAAAAAAGATAGTCTAATAGCTGTGATAATTTGGAAAAATAAAATATATATATATATATAAGAAACATGAGAATGTGAGGAACAAGAAATATACAGCATATTGTACTGTTATTGATTAGTCAATGAAATAATAATATCAATTCAAAAAAGTTATTCTTACAAACACTACTAAACTAAATTTTTCATTACTCAAATTTTTTAAATGCACAATTTGGTTTTGTTTATTATTGTCAATTTTACGATTCAAATATTGATTGAGAAGTGAAAATAAATAATGTAATTTATTGTTGTATGCATAAATCAAATAAAATATATATAGCTAAAATTGAAAAGTAATAAAACGGAGAAGACGGTATGAAATGATGTACGTGTCATAGATCTGAGGAGTAAATTTGTGAAATATTCATCGCCTATAAAGATATGAATGAGGTGATTGATTGAGTGGATAGGGAAACATACGTGATCATCATCATTATCACCATCATCATCATCATTGTCACCACCATCATCACCGTTGTCATCACTAACATTATCATCATTTTTATATTTTACTAAATATGGTAATGGTATATCATTTAATAGAATGCAAATGATGAAATGATCAAATATAGCAGCTGTAATAATCATTGTAGCACCGCAACTGCAACCGTCATCAGTACTACTCTCATTATCATTATTATCACTATCACTAAACATTTGTATTAGCATGAATAAGAGCGCAGATACTATTTCTCACTTTCTCTTCTACTGCCAGTTATCATTTCATCAATCTTAATCACATCACTTCTATCAATTATTACCAGTATTAATGTCAATCTTCCTTTAATCTTTTTCCATCTCTTTCATTTCGTTATCTTTCTTGTGCATTCCTCTTTCCAAATTGTATTTCAATATGAATGTTTCAACGAACTCTTCATTTTATATAAAATTCATTTCATAATAATTTTCCTTTTTTCTTCTTTCTTTCCTTTTTTCTCCCTCTCCTCTCTCTCTTCTTTTTTGTTTCTTTCAATATTTCAATATTGTTTTCTTATGTCAATTTTTTGAAAAAATACAACATTTCTAAGGAGACAATATTGCGATTCATCTTTCAATTCACACTTAAAGTTCTAAATCCATCGTTTGCTGTAAGAACATGAAATCATCCTATTATGCTAACATAAAGTGATATGATATCAGTATCTCTACCATTATCATTGTCATCAACATCATAACTACTTGCTATCAATATTATTATCATTTCTGTTATTCATTATCATCATTCGCTGTGCAAAATTGCAAAAAGAAATTATAAAATTTGCGACAATTAATATTTTAGTGATACAAATTTGTTGATTGTCTTTTCCATGGAATGCTTTTTTTCCCCAAAATCATTGAAAATGAAGCATTTCTAACAATTTGCTAATAAGATAATTAAACGGACAATATTGATAAGATTGAATGAATAATGTGATTGCTAACATAGCTTCTCTTTTTTATTGTTAATTTCGATGATCAATACTTGGCCATTTCAACAAACAACTGTCATATCAAAACACAACAGGTAGGCACATAATATGCCATAAAGATGAAATTACATCAAAATGGTAGACAAAGGGTTTCCCCTGGTCGGGACATTAAAATGTTGCAGTGTAATTTTCTCACGCCTTACTACTACTACTACTACTACATGTAAAATCCTTTGTTCAAACTGCTTTGTAAAAATGTAGTAATAATTTCAAATCATTTTGTTTTGGCTATTTAGACTGATCATCATATGATGACAATCAGTCTAAATAGGGCAAAATGGTATTTCGATAATATTTGACACTATCAAACTTAAGACAAAATGATTAGTGATGATTACACCAATTGTTTGTAAGATGGAGGTTGATAATTTACCCTTTAAATATCTTTTAAGTTATTTCATATCCAAATATAACTAATCGATGTTGTATTGAAATCGATTAGTTAGGCATTATATTTAACTGTTTTATAGTCATGCAAAAATAGCATTAAGTTTAGTTTTCAATTTATCGGCGAAGTATATCATCCAAAAAGTGGTTTTTCATTTTTTCTGTACTGCAATAAATAGCTCCATTAATTTAGCGTAAATAGCAAGCATATTTAACTTTCATGATCCATTTGAGCTATTTTACATTCAGTTAAATTAATGTAAATTTTTTGTTACTTTAATTAGTATATATCTCTGATTTAAAGTAAAACTTGAAATTTGCAAAATCTATGCAATTAGCAGCAGTGGAGATATTTAATTTGGCACTATAATGAATAGAAATTCTTACATTACTGATACCAGCCTGCACATTATATATTTCGTTAGGAATTTCTGCATTTTCTGATAAGCTTTCCGTAATTTTTTTCAAAAATAACAACAAAAACTTGCAAGAATCCCAAACAATATGCAAATGTTTAAAATATACAAAAAAAAAGAATTAATCTAAAATTTCTTAGGATTGTAAATGAACATGAACAATTTCAAACATTTGCGTTCCTAATTAATTCCAATATTTTTAGGGTTTATTCGAATTTGTTTGAATTTCCAAATTTCAAATATTTTGAAAATGTTTGAATTATATATTCACTCGTATTAAAATTTGAACTCTGAGACAACAAAATGACAGTAAAATGGAGCCAAATAAGAAAATTAAAAAAAAATTCTTTTATCTAATCATTCGGTTCCACTTTCTATTTTGTTTTGTTTTGTTTTTTCCATTTTTCAAAAGAGGCGGAGGAGGACTTCGCTTTTTCAAGAAAAGTTTCTTACACACAAAATGCGATGAGACGTAATTTTCATAGCGTCTTAATTTGAGTGACCAACGTTCTCGCGTTCGTTCAAAC